CGTCCCTAATGGGATAGCCTCGAGATGTGCGGAGCACATCCATGCATTGCTTATGCCGTCATCCCACGACGGTGGGCTTCACCGATACAAAATCCTCCGAGCCTCCCTCGGGTCAGTCTCCTTCCTCCCCGTCGTCGTCTGTCCATCCGAGCGGCAAGCTCTAGCACTGGAAGCCTGCCTGATCGCGGGGCTGCGTCCCGCAGCCAATGGCGCAGACATTGCCCAATTAAGAGCCCAGCGTCAATCCCGCATCCCTTTAAAACCCGATCGACCTGCCCATCGTTCCCGTCCATTTCCTAGGTTTCGTCATCGTGATCCCATCGCCTCTGTTTGGTCTCAACCTCCGTTTCAAGAGTCGTTTAAGCGAAAGCAGGATCCACCAGCCCCAAAAACCAGGCCACTTTGGGAACTCAGAGGCCCGTACGCTGGACTCTATCGATTCATCCAGCAATCCCTCTGTGCCCACTCTGGGGAGCAAGGCCCGCTGTACATTTTCGATTCGCGTTTTCGGTTTCTCCTCGCTTCCTACTGTGCCAGCTCCAAAGCGAAGCTCGATTTCCCCAGCACTTGGAGTCGAGGGTACGTTGCCAGCATCTTGTACTCTGTAGCAGACCTGCTCCCCCATGCCATTCGAGGAGCGGTTCCTTTGAGCAATGCCCGCAAATTCGTTGAGCAAGTTTTGAGGAGGTGTAAGCTGCCACCATTAGTGATCCGTCCGCTGTGCGTCCCACTCTGCCTTGCTAGTCAGTTTGGCCTCATTCGCAAATTGGTTCGCGAAGCATTGCAGTCGGTACGAGTGTATGCCGCCAGGAAATGGTTGCAACGCCATGTGTCGATTTTGCCCGGCAAGTCACGCCTTTGGTCCCACAGAGTGCAGGGCAAGAAGCAATTGCAGGCTTTCGACTTGGAATCCTTATTGCGGCTGGATCTCCGGGAGTTAGGCGCTGCGGCTGCCCTGCCTTCCCTCCAAGCGCATCCTGGCCCATGGCGTCTGCCTGTATGGCCCCAGGTGCGGCAAGTGAGGAAAGACTTTGCACGTGCGTGGGCCCAGTGGTCGTCCGCCCACAGGCTTCACCCCAGGGTGCGACGGTCGCTCATCCCGCACCTGCAGGGCCGCATTGTTGAGCGTGCAGTTCCGCCTTGCCCGTCTTCATGGCGAGAGCAGGAACAAGATTTCTCGTTCATTCTTGCATCGCCCCATGCATTCATTCCTGACGATCGGGACTCGCAGAAGGTATGGTCATGCGCCACTGATGAATTGGCCGCACATATAATCCATGCCATGCAGAAGGACCCGAGGTGGACTGTCGATCCCGAGTTCCAGCGACGCGATGTTCTAGCCTGGGGTTTTGCCAGGGCCTTCCTCGCCTTGCCATCGTGGCTGAGGAGCCAAGTTACACCCCCAGGGCGGAGCACGTTACCTCCCGAAGTGTTTGCATTCGCAAAGTCAAAATGCTTCCAGGATTCTGGTGAAAGGGTATGCTCTAAACCCGACCATAGTTGTCTTCGGCGGTTGGTGGACGCCAGCTGTGTCCCGTTTGCCCGAGGCTGGAAGGCAGTAGCTCGGGCAGTGCGGGCCATTGTCGAAATTGTTGGCGCCACACGCGAAGTTTTTAGCATGGATTGTGCAGCTGAGAGCCTAAAAACCGGTTTGTCCGGCCTTCAAGGCTCTTCGTCTGGCAAGTGTGCATGTTGTGGGAAGCCCATCAGGGGCGTTGCAGTTTTTAGCGCTGATGTTGATCAAGCGTTCGAAGCGTGCGAATCAGCCCAGGTACTCCCAGCTTGGCAGCGTCTGGCAAAAAAATATCAATCTCAGACATCGTGCACGTCTGTATATATCCAGAAAGCTCGCAAGTTTGCCTTTAGAGTTCCGAGTGGGCACCGATGGACTCGAGGATGGTGGATATTTCACGTTGAGTTGCTTGCTACGTGTTTGCATGTAGCCACGGTATTGAGTCTAGTATGCCTTTCGTCGCTAGTGATTCGACAGCATGGCATGGCCATCGGAGGAGTTCTCAGTTCAGCAGCCGTCTCCGTCATTCTCGGGGGCGAAGAGGCCGAGGTTCTTGAGGGCACTCGGCACATCCCAGGTTTCTGTCTCCCTCAGGGGCCGTCGATATTGCAGCGGATTTTCTGGGTGCGTTACGTGGATGACCTGCTTTCGTTCTCCTTTCAATATTGTAGTACTTGTCTAGGTGTGTTTCTCGGGCAGGTGTATCGGGAAAAATTAAGCGTCGTGCATCAGAGTGACGGTGCTCATGGACACCGAGTGTGCGAATGGCTTGATTTTGAATTGCATTTTTGGGAATCCAGTTTCTCGTGGTTGCCGAAGAACCTGAACCGGGGGTGGCTTTTTCGGAATGAGCCTCCACTCCGATTGACCCTCCTGCCATGGATGGGCAGCTCCCCCACTCGTTTCTCTCGAATTCGAGCCGGGTTGTTCGGAAGAATAGCCCGAGGGAAGAAAATGGACTTGTCCCTGGCTCTTATGACCATCGTAGTGCTAGAATTTTTATTGGAGCTCCTAAAGCTCGGATTCCCCCTCTCTTTCGTGCTTGCCCTAGTCCACTCCCTTCCTCCCCTCCCTGCCGTCGTGCTGGTCCGAAAGAGTATCCGATCCCTCCACCATTCAGGCAAAACTAGTGCTCGCATCCTCCAGCCCATGTCTGAGTGGAATCAGCGTGACGAAGGTGGTTATGGGTACTCGCGCGGCCGCCGGGAGTATTCGCATGGCCGTGACGACAAGTGGAAGAGTGCAGAGGAGAGGCTGGCTCTGTTAGAGAAGGCTGCCGAAAAATCAAGCTCTAAGAAGTCTGCCCGGAAGCGGGACAAGAAGAAGAAGAAGAAAAAAAGATCATCATCATCATCATCCAGCGGCTCCTCGACGTCTAACGAGAAGATTCGCCAGGCCGAAGAGTTCCTGGCCAAGAAAAGCAAGCGCTTCAGGAACTACATCAAAGATTCTGCGCAAAAAGAACGCGATGCCGAGTATGCAAGGCAGGGGCAGTTGATCGCGAAAGCTATCGGCCCCCAGATCAGTGAAGCAGTGCAGGCCGCAGCGGTGCAGATCGCGCCAGCGGCTTCCTCGGGCCACTCCGGAGCAGCGGCGGCCAGCCCTGGCAGCGGTTCCGGCGCCCCTCCACCGGCTTCGGCGCCACAAGAGGTTCAACAGCAGCTGACCCCCACACACCGAGCCTTGCTTGAGGCGGTCCTCGGCGGAAGCATCGAGATCAAGGATGGCTCGCTCGAGGGTGTCACCAAGGCAATATCCGAGGGATGGACGTCGAACCCGAAGGTCGCCAAATCGGTCGAGGCTGCCATTAAGAAGTTCGCGGGAAAAGAAGTTGCTGTCCCCAGGCCCAAAGTCGAGAGGATCCAGTTGTTGTTCGACGCTATCCGCAAGTTGCCCTGAGCTACACGGAGCATCTTCCTGATAATCTTCTGGCCTCTTCAAGTTCCGCTGCTCGTACTCCTCGTATGTCTGTGCATTTCGTTCTATCTAGGATTCGCTCTGGCATGGTACCAGAACGAGGCGTTCAAGTACCAGAGCGAGGCGCTCAAGTGGCAGGTAGGCGGACAGGTCTTCACCAGTGTTGTGGATCTCGCCCGTGCTTACTTCTTCCCCTTCTCCTTCGCCCCCCAAATCCCTTCCCCACCCCTCGCACCTCCGTCGCAACAGCTACCAGCCATAACCGGTCTTGGCCGAAACATTCCAAGCATCGGGGTCGGTTCTTTTGCCGATGGCATTGCTCGAGCGCTCGGGCACTAGAGGTACAAAAGATGGGGGGGAAATTCGTTACGTTGAAACAGCCCTGTGCTTTAGGTGTATATCTCTTGTACCTCGTTCCCCTTGTTTCGTGCGAGATGGGATCAGCAGCGTATGAAGCCAGATCATGATCTTCAGATTTGTCTGGCGGAGCCTCCTGCCGGTCCGAAGCACGCGGACTGAACCATGATTGTCCCTCAAATTCCAAGTCAGATGAGTGCAGACAGCGATGACGACGACGACGATCGTACGTGCTGACCCGGAGCAGGGGTGCGCCAGGAGTGGAGACTCACGGAGTCTCGGTGCGTGTTTCCTCGTCAGTGCGCGTGCGGGGGTTTGCCCTCTCTCCGGGGCGAATCCCAGGAGGGTTCATCATATTCCGTGCAGCGAGCTGGCTCGGACTGGCGTGAGTGCACAGGGCGCTCAAGCTCACTCCAGTGGCCCTCTTGCGAGCCAGCAGAGCCTCATTCCGATGGTGCTCTGAAAGAACATCGCCACCAGTGATCATCATCATCATCATCATCATCATCATCATCATCATCATCATCATCATCATCATCATCATCATCATCATCAGCCTCCTCTTCCTCCTCCTCCTCCTCCTCCTCGTCTTCCTCCTCCTCCTCCTCCTCCTCTTTCACCCCCCTCATCTCACAGCCGGTCCCCCGGATCCCCCCCTTCCACCCGTCGTCGTCACTAGTCGTCGGTCGTCGGCCGTCGGCAGCCGTTCGCCGTCAGTCGTCGTCGTCGTCGTCGGCAGTTGTTCACCGTCAGTCGTCGACGTCGTCGTCGTCGTCAACCGTCGTCGTTAATTCGTTTGTCAGTCGTCGTCGTAATGATCCCACTCGTCGACCGTTGGTCGTCCGTTGTCGTCGTCACCGCCCATCCCAACAATAGCATCAACGCCACGGATCGGCGGCAGTGGCTGGAGGTCACTACAATCAGAAATAATCAAAACGTACTCCAAACACAAAGTAAATCATTGTTTAAAACACGTCCTCGTATCATGTTGTTTGATTATTGTTGGATATTCTTCCTGTAGAGGAACACGCCGACTTAAAACAAGCACCCCGACAAGCGAAGCCCTTTAGCAAACGCGCCCACAGGGAGGAATCGAACAGGGCAGGGCCGTTCAGTATAAACGCCCAGGGCCGTTCAGTAAACGCCACTTGTCGGGGTCTAAGTGGTTTCCTCCCTCGAATCAGCGGTCGGGCGGGGCGGGGATGCCGACGGCCTCCAGCACCGGGCAGTCGTAGGAGTCGACCCGCCGGGGAGGCTGAGGGACCGCCAGGGGACCCGCCGCCCGCCAGGCGTTACGAGGGTGAGCTGTGCGCGCTGGGGGCCCTCGAGGCGGGACGACGGCGGGTAGGAGAGGGAGGAGGGGAGGAGGAGGGGGGAGGGGGGGGGGGAGGAGGCGCTCCTTCTCCGAGGAGGATCCCCCCCCGCGTGAAAGCCCGCCAGTGTTGCCCAGCGCGCCGGGGCGGCGACGAGTCGGCGACGGGCGCCCGTGGGCGGCGACGGGGCGGCGGCGGGCGCCCAACGCACGGGGAGGCGACGAGGCGGCGACGGACGCTCGCCGCGCGAAAGGCCGGAAACGCTGCCCAAACACTTCGAAACCATGTGAGAGCTCCATGGCAAGCGCTGCTTGGGGAGCGCTGAGAACACGGTGAGGGCGGTGGGTAAGGACGAATTAGATGAAGAATTGATGGTCTGTAAGCCGTTGGCAACCTAATTCAGGCTTGGCCATGGAAATCACCGCCGCCCTCATCAGATAGGGAACCCTCCAGTGTCTGAAACCTCCTGGGCACATTCCTGGACGAACGCCCCAAACGTATGTCAACGATGTAAACGATGAGAATGGCAATTACGATGATGGTAAGTAGGATGGGTAGCAGGGGAAGAGGGAAAGGTGGACAAGGTCATGAGAGCACGGTAGAGACGGAATGTCTGCGGGCGAAAGGTATTAGACATGACAACGACGGACGCCCCCAGGGGGTGGTGGCATGGCGTAGACCTGTCTGGATGTCGACCTGCGTCCCCACAGCACTCTCTTCTCGCTAAGAAGCTCCTCCTCCTCCCCCTCGTCCTCGTCCTCCTCCTCCTCCTCCTCCTCCTCCTCCCTCCTCCTTCTCCCCCTCCTCCTCCTCCCCCTCCTCTTCCGCCTCCTCCTTCCCACGCCTTCTCCTGATCCTCGTCCTTGTCCTCATGCCCGTGCTGAGGAATAGCATGCGACCCCAAACGCACCGCTCGCAATAATACATCGTGTCGCAGCCCGCTCAGACATTACCCAACGTCTGCAATCCTCGGCCTCAATCTCCTCCTGCTTCCTTATCCACCCCCCCTCGTACAACGATGCCGTTCGCCAGTCGCTTCCTTCGACCGTCATGGATCGGCGCGGTTGCACAGATGGGGAGAGATACGAGGAGAACGTTGCTCCTTGATCCGCCCTTAACCCCAGGAAGCATTTAAGAACCCCCCCGGCGATATCGTAGCACCGCATTTTTTATTCGATATTCCGAGGGGCCGAAATAACCGAACGATAGCTTTAGCATCTGGACACAAGGAAGGGCTCCTGGTGCCAGGTAACGCTTCCAGGGTGCGGAAGGGCTATCGATTTGCCGGAGGGGGGGGGGTTCTTAAATGCTTCCTGGGGTTACTCTCTCTATATATATATATACATATATATATATATATGTATATGTATATATATATATGTATATATGTCCGTCTCTGTGATCTATGTTCTGGTAAATCTGTATGTGTATCTCAATCGTTATGTCTTTCTCTCTCTCTCTCTCATTCTCTCTTTCTCCCTCCGACATATTTCTGTCTTACGTTGTATACATATATAAATATACATGTATACATAGATTTCTCTCGCTCTCTCCCTCTCTCTCTCTCTTTCTCTCTCGCCTTCTCTCCCTTTCTTCATGCGTTTTTGTGTCGGTCCGCGCATCATCTGGATCGCGAGATCACTCGCACCTGAGCGTGCGACCGCGCACGCTCGCGATTCGCTGTGCATCCCTCCGCCCTCATCCCCCCCTCCCTCAGATCCCCCGATCCATCACCCACCCCTCTCTCACTCACTCGCTCCCGTCCCTCCATCGCACGGTAGCCCCTTCATCAACAATTCATTCCTTCGCTCCCTTCTTCCGTCCATCCGCCTCTACTGCTGTCTCTCCTGCGCCCCTTCTCCTGTGAAGCATCCGCCACCGTGCCTCGAGGCACGAAGTGGAATGCCCTCGCCCCCCCCTCTGAGTTCTCGACACTTATCGATTACACGTCTTATTGCCAGGGGGCCACGGCCCGGGGAACTCCGGGCGCGCTCGCGTGCTCCCGTGGGGGCCTCCCCCGCGACTTCTGTTCGAAGCCCAAGAGCGACAGGCGTGCTCGGCATGCCCTGAGGCAGGGTTCCGATAAAACTTCCTGCAGCCTTTTGGGGGGGCGCCTCCTGGCCCTGGGGCGTCTTTTTGAGGCCCTGGAGTCGGCGGTGGACAAGCCTCCCTTTCGCAAACCTCCCCTCGGTGAAAAAACGGCCTGGGACCGAAACCGACGGGCCCGGAGCCGCAAAAATGACGGCCGCGACGCCCTCTCGCGAACCGCCAACGGCCAATTCCGTAATCGACGCGTCAGGGTAGGAGGTCTATCCACCTCCGATGGAGGGCGGTCCAAGCCTGAGACCTCCTCGCAACGTCGACGTCGGATACGCCTTGCCGCGCAGGTGATCTGGTTTGCCTCCCCCTGAGTCGGCGGTGGACAAACCTCCCTTTAATAAACCTCCCCTTAGTGAAAACGGCCTGGGACCGAAACCGACGGACCTGGACCCGCAAAAATGACGGCCGCGACGCCCTCTCGCGAACCGAAAACGGCCAATTCACTAATCGACGTGTCAGGGTAGGAGGTCTATCCACCTCTGACTGAGACATCCTCACAACTCTGACTTGAGATAGTGCCTGGGCAGCAGTGTTCTGCCCACTTTCGCCCGAGACATCCTCGCAACTCTGACCTCGGAGGTGCCCTGCCCCACGGTGGTCCGGCCGCTTTCGCATGCGACACCCTCGCCACTCTGCGTCCGGAGATGTCCTAACTTGCGGTATTCAGGTCAGCTTCGCCAGAGCCATCCTCGCAACTTTCGGTGTCGAGGTGCCCTGAGCTGAGGAAATCAGACCACTGTTGCTTGAGACCACCTCCGAACTCTGACCTCGGAGAAGCCCTGCCCCAAAGTGGTCCAGCCACTTCCGCTATGAGACTTTCTCGCAACTCTACGTTCCAGAATCCCTGAGCTGAGGTGGTCTGGCAAGTTTCGCTGTAAACATTCTCGCAGCTGTTGATACCGAGATGCCCTGCCCCATGGTAGTTCCGCCACTTTCCCCTGAGACATCCTCGCAATTCTGCGTTCCGAGATGCCCTGAACCGAGGTGTTCACGCCATTTTCGTTTCAGACATCCTCGCAACTCTGAGTTCCAGTATGTCCTGAGCGGAGGTGTTCAGGCCATTTTCGCTTGGGACGTCCTCGCAACGCTGACCTCGGCGATGCATTGTCCCATGTTAGTCTGGCCACTTCCGTTTGTCCAACGCTGACCTCGGCGACGCATTGTCCCATTAACGCATGTGTATGCGCACCCGTAGTCTTATATATAGCGTGCACCGACAAACACATACGAGTTCCCCAGGCATATACATACCCATACACGCGGAACGTGCATGCGCGTGCGCGTGTATACATGCCTGCGCGCATGTACGCACGCACGCACGCACTCGGCTTGCGTGCGAAACTCAAAGGATCAAGACTGCATGGCGCGCAGCGCCAATGCAGTCTTGCATATATATATACATATATATACGTGTGTGTGGTGTCCCGTTTGCAATGGTTTTACGATGCTGCGTTCTCCATGCCACACTTTCTCTCTCTCTCTCTCTCGCCACCGTCCCTACTTCGGGCCTGCTTCTTGACCCCTGACCACCAACAACATCTCGTTGCAATCGATGTCCTCCCAATTCTCTTTCCCGCCCTCTCTCTCTCTCTCCCGTTAACCTGTTGCCCCGCACTGCGCACGACCGCTGAGTGTTGGGCACCTCTACCTCCCTGGGCCCTTGCTGATCACTGTCTCCGCCTGCCAGTCAATCGCTGCAACCCTCTCCGCATGCCTTCAAGACGTCCAGCACCGCAGGCAACTCAACCTGGATGCGCATGCAGACAACTCTCACGAACTGCGCGCATGCCGTAGAGAAGATGCTGGTATAAAGAGAGGGGGGCGGAATGCTGGCACAGGGCGGCCAGGGAGAAGACGCCCCAGGGGCACGCGGGGAACCGAGACAGTGGAGCCGGTGACAGCAAGCAGGTGGGCTCGGAGAAGGGGCCAGCCCCGTGCAGCCGCGTGGGATCCGGGGGATCCCGGGCGGAGCACGATCCGTGCGAGAGGGGTGCGCCGACACTCTCGCGGAGGGCGGCGTGAGCCCGTGCCCGCCGGGGCCCGAGAGGGCGGGCTCCGCCGTCGGGGCAGGCAGCACGCGCGGGGCGCGCCGAGCCAGGCAGGAGGCGCAATGCGCGCGCGCGCGCCCGCTGGGGCGGTGGGTCGGGGAGCACGGCGCGCGCGAGGGGAACGCGGGAATGCCCGGGTGATGGGGGCGGCTCGCGCGCGCGCGCGCGAGGCAGAGCTGGCCACGTGGGCACGAGGCGTGCGAGGGGCGTGCGAGGGGTTAGTGGGAGGAAGAGGAGGAGGAGGAGGAGGAGGAGGAGGAGGAGGAGGAGGAGGAGCAGGAGGAGGAGGAGGAGGAGGAGGAGGAGAGCCATTGTAAACCCAGGACTCATCAACGATGGTGGGATAAAGCCTCCCTCCACGCTCCCTCTTCATAGGCCCCTACAACGGCTCATTTCCATTAAGGGAACTGCCTCGTTGGAAGACAACCGTGAAGCTTGCCAAAACAGTGTTTTCGGGATTCCAGCGCCACGGATCAACCGGATTGTTGCGTGTTGACGATCCCGAATCGTGCCAGAACGCCGTTCCTGGAACGTCAACACCGCGAGCCAACGTAACTGTTGCCACCACATAATCCTGAATCTTTCCAGAACGCACTTTCTGGTACTTTGATCCTGGGAATCCGTGAAACTCTTGCAAATTAAATAAACGAATGCGCGCGGCGCTAAAGCGAGAACCACATTTTGAAAACCACCTGTCCTCAATCCGTGAAGCTCTTGGACGTTTTATAACGAATGCACGCGGCGCTAAAGCGAGAACCGCAATTTGAAAACCACTCGCCCTCAATCCGTGAATCTCTTGCAAATGTTTAAAACGAATGTGCGCGGCGCCTAGGCGATAACCGCATTTTGAAAACCATTCGCCCTCCATCCGTGAAGCAAGAATGTACAAAACGAATGTGCGCGGCGCTAAGGCGAGAGCCACATTTTGAAAACGGCCCGCGCTCCATTTGCGATACCGTTGCAAAATTGTGAGCCCAAGAGTCGTAGATGGTGAGAAAGTCTCAGGCGAAACGCCCGGCCCGCCCTAAAATCTGGCCTCGGGGTGCGACAGGGAGAAACCATCTATAAGGAAAAGGAATGGATGAGGAAGAGGAGGAGGAGGACAAGGATCAGGAGGAGGAGGAGGAGGAGGACAAGGATCAGGAGGAGGAGGAGGAGGAGCAGAAGAAGAGAGGAGCAGAAGAGAGGAGGAGGAGGAGGAGGAGGAGGAGGAGGAGGAGAAGGAGGAGGAAGCGAAGCACCCAGGGTGTCAGCGGTGCGCCGAAGTGGGCGGAATGGCGGCCTGCGCCCGCGCCCGCCGGGGCTGTACTTAGGGTGGAGCCCGCTGTGGGGGGGCACGACGCGTGCAGGGCCTGCCGAAGTGGCCTTGCGCATCTTGGCGGCTGACCTCTTGCGCCCTCTTGCTGGGTAGTCGAAGCTAATCTGGCGCCAATCTGGCAGGCCCAATCTGGCAAACGGGGGCAATCTGGCGAGGGAGCCAACGCGAATCCAGTCTGGCGAATAACCCAAATCATCCAGTTTGGCCGGGCCAGATTGGCTCTTGGGGCCCAATCCAATCTGACAGTCTGGCCTTCGACTACCCAGTCTTGGTGGCCTCCGGCGTTCCTCTTGAGGCTTCTGGCGGGCCGCCCTGAAGCGGTCGCGCCCAGCCCTGGGCCGTCGTCGATCACTCGTCGGCCTTCTCCGAACCGTTGCTGGGGAGAAGCATGCTTCGCCGCCGAATGGGGCACCTCAGGAACTGTTAGGTGACCCGGCCCGACCCGACGTGCCGAGAGCGGGGGCAATCATCTGCGGCTCCCTGGTCGACTACAACGCAAGAGTGACAGTGACCCTGAGGCATGAATGAACTCTGGTGCGCGGACCAGGGGGAAGCGAGGTGGCCAAATCCAAGCACGCAACCTGCCGCTATTGCGTTGCGCTCAGCGATCATTGAGACCCTGATGAGCCCGCACCAGAGGTCACTCTGGCGAGAGGGTCGCTCTTACGTGTAAATTTAGGTCGGGCACGTCCTCCTACGGGATGATTTGGGCGAAGAATAAGAAAGGATCAAGCAATGCCAGAAAAGAACCAACACTACTCAAAAAACAAATCGTTCCCCGACGATGTTGTTGACTCTTCTCGAATGTGCCTCCTGTAAAGGGACAGGCCCGACGAAACAACGGGGGGGAGAGGCGGAACCCGCGGGGGGCGACATGGGGGGACCCTGGACCTGCCGAGCTCGTGCTCACGAAAGCGTCGTCGCCTCCTCTAACTAACCAGCCTCGAACCGAATCCCGATCCCTAAGATGGGCAGGCCAGGAGCGATACCGATCTTAGCGATAGGTCCTCCTCGCCATCGCTCGGACGTCCATTCCCTGTGCTTTCTTCTGTTTCGTGCGTGGTTTTTTCGCCAAATGATCAAGGATGCTCCTCGATGGTCCTCGCAGAGAAAAAATGCACACGTCCGAGCGATGCCAAGCCTCAGAAGACTCAGAAACTGAGGGGGGTCGTTAAACTCGGTGTCGAGGGAAGGCGATGCCAAACAACGGGATCGGGTCAGGTCCGGCATGTCCCCCTGCAGGCCGATCTTCGACGAAAAAAGAAAACATACTCCAAACATGTTCGAACATGGTACAGCCAAAAATGCTCGACAAGTCGTCCCTGGACTACTTTTCTTACTATTCTTGAAGAGTCCTCCTGTAGAGGGACACGCCCGTTTTCAGGATAGAGGGATGTTGCAAACCGGTTACTCCTCGCCACCACCCCGTGGCGACGAGCAGAGCCCCTGCACCGGCCCAGGCCGCGAGAGGAGCGCGCTGCCCCTCTTCGCGCCCCTGCGGGGGACCTCATAGGTGGAGAGGACTGGGGGTGCAGCGGGGGGGGGGAGGCGGCCAGGGTTATGTCGGGCGTGTCCCCCTACAGGGGGATTTTCGATGAAACATAAAATACTCCAAACAGGTTCCAAAATGGCCAAAAAATAGTCAAAAAATACTCCCCGGACTATTTTTGGACTATTTTTGGATTACCTTTGGGGGTATTTTTAATTTCTTCGTCGAAAATCCCTCTGTAGGGGGACAGGCCCGACTTAACGCCAGACCCTTGGAGGCCGAAGCTGGGACTCCTGGGGCGGCGGGCGACCGGTGACAGCGGCACGGGACGGGCCGCAGCAGGCAGGGACACCGGGGCACCCCGGAGGCAGGCGCGCGCCCCTCCTGGGCGCGTGGGCTGCACCTCCAGCGAGCCAAACAACAACACTGTGCGCAAACTTGCTCA